CTCTGTGTCTCTCAGCTATCAGCGCTGGCATTAGGCACGTTATTGAAATGAAGCCGATAAGAAGCTTCCCCTAGCTGGTCTGTGTGGGTTAAGCGGGGTTACGGCAATTGGGGGCAGCAGCGGGGGCTGTTCAATAAGTTGTGCACGGATTGCACTGCTCTGAAATTACACGTTGCTCTAATGTCAGTTGTTTTCATTGTTTGAACAATAGGAAAAATGTTAAGCAATAATTTAAGCTGATGTGATGAAAGGCATTTGTTCCATTATACACATCAGTTGCAGCTGGACTTAATCATTTTAGTAATAGCTATAAATATGTATATATAAACATATATATGATGGACATTCATATTGGTTGCGTAATTCTTATTGCATTATTCTGTTCCTGCTAAGTTGATTATAAATATAAGTGTTTAACTTTGATTTATAAACTAACTTTTACATAATAAACTGAAAAAACTGTTGAAAATTGTTAATCAGATTACTTGGTCTATACGTAAAGCTGTGTATATATATACAATTGCATTAGGCGTATTACATATTCCGCAATATTTCTTGTTCATTAAATACTTGTACTTGTTTTTCGTTTGATTAACATAAATTGCATTAAACTTAGCAATTATTTTTACATCTATTTTGCAAAATATTATTACCATTAAATTTCCATCAGCGCTTAATATGTTAGAAGCTGTATATATTATATGCTACTGATTTTTTCTATAACTAAATAAATGAATAGAAAGATTAGTCGAAATAAATGTTTAAAATTTTATTATTACTCACATAGCATTCAATCTGAACAAAACTTAACAATAGAAATATCTTGAAAGTGATCTTCTGTTTATATTATGACATTTTATAGTATTCGTAGTAGTAGTAGTAGTAATAGTAGTAGTAGTAGTAATAGTAGTAGTAGTAGTAGTAATAGTAGTACTAGTAGCAATAATAGTAGTAGTGGTAGTAGTAGAAGTACTAGTAATAGTAGTAGTACTAGTAATAGTAGTAGTAGTAGTAGTAGTAGTAGTAGTAGTAATAGTAGTAGTAGTAGTAATAGTAGTAGTAGTAATAGTAGTAGTAGTAGTAGTAATAGTAGTACTAGTAGCAATAATAGTAGTAGTGGTAGTAGTAGAAGTACTAGTAATAGTAGTAGTACTAGTAATAGTAGTAGTATTAATAATACTAGTAGTACCAGTAATAGCAGTAGAAGCCGTATTAATAGTATCACGAGTATTAGTACTACCATTAGTAGCAATCATATTAGTAGTAAATGTAAATTTCTTAATGTATAATAAAATCTTTTTTATCTGTTTTTTTTTTCTATTAAAGAAAACTTTCAGTTTATCTGATATGACAAATAACATATGTTATCAGCATAAAATTCTATAAGATATGATATGTTACTTGAAACGATTATCAGTGAGCATTGAGTAATATAACGACATTATAAACGCTGGCATTGCTTTGCCATTCAAGTAGAAATATATAGAAATATATATACTATATACATATAATCGTACACGTACACTCGTGTAAGTTTCCAAACATCATTCATTTAAACGCGATACAACAAAAATATTTTTATTGTTTTGTTTAATTCGTGAATAAAGGAAATTATGTTGTGCCTAATGACATTATAATTTAAATAATTTTTAATGGAATATATACTACTTTACCTGTACCTCGTGATGTTTTAAAAGTTAAAAAACATATATATATGTTTATAAATATATATTTATGTATAAGAAGCATGAAAAAATAAATTAGCTAAAAATAACATGAAAATTGCGTAGTTCGTGCAAAGTTTGTTTTCTTCAGATAGAAACCAAAAATAAATATAGTATTCAAATATAGTATTCACCTCTTGAGAAATCAAAGAAAAATCTATATCTGGGCATAGACATGTGCCAATATATTAGAATTTGACACAGATGCATACACAGTTATTAATGAATACCCGAAAATATGGATAATTAATTATTTTCTATAATTTCATTATTTATCTGCTTAACTCTATTAATATCGCTTACAAGCCGTCCTCATAAATCAACATCTCTCTCACATTATTGAAAAAATGAATATACTGCGAATAAAATACTGTGAAAAGTCAATATAAAATGTTGCAATGAACGACTAGCTAATACCTTGCCATAATTTATATATTATAAGAAAAAAGCTAAATTGAATTTTTTTCAAATTTAACAAACAAAACAGTAATAAAAATCTAAACACCCAGACATAAATTCCAAAAAATTAGAAACAAACGCACACGCGCCTCACATTTATCTATATACATATACTTTCTCTATACATACACACATGTATTTATGTATATAGTGGCGTCGTTTTTATAGTGTATTTCGGGGGCTCGACCCGCACAGTTGTATAAGTAAATAAAAATTGAACAGGCTCTAGAGCTCTATGTAGTCATAGATACATGCTTTGCACATCCGCTTCGTTATTATTAAAGCTCGACAACAACAACAACAGCGGTAAATACAGTGCGTATTACTTGTTGCCCTTATCAGTGGTATACGAATGAAATATTTTTTATGTTTTGGCCATAAAAATATTTTTTGGCGCAGAAAAATGCAAGAAAAAAACTAATGCTGAAAACAAAGACGAAAATGCAATGAACATTCTTAATCTCCGATTACGAATCGATATACCCAAACAACAAAAACAACAACAACAAGAAACTAAGAAGAAAACAACAACATTTAGCTTTGCGAAACTAACGGTGACTCGGCACGTCAGAAAAAATATTGAACTCTAACGATGACGCTGCACAAATTCATACGCTCCACTGATTCGCTAGCTAGAGAATTGACAAACAGCGAATTGGCGAACTCTCGCAGCGACAACGGCAGACACGGCGAACAAGCGAGTTTTATAGCAAGACTCAAGTAAATTATAGCGCTATAATAAAACTTTTGGATAAAGCGCAAAACAAAGAGAAAAATATGATCATAGCCCAAACATGTTATCGTCGTTGTTGTTGTTGACTTTTCTCTTTCTTGCTACTCTCTACCTTCTTCTACTTCTGCTTATAGAGTTATTTTTATACACTTGTTTGTGGGTGGCTAGATTGGTTCTCGTGAGGCGTGAAAAGCGAGTGTTAATTGAAGGTGTCTGTGTCGAATGATGTAATTAATGTCTGCGAATATGTTGAACTAAAGTGTTAAATTGTATATTTAGTAATTACCGAATGTATATTAGATAAAATAAGGTGCTAATAAGTAGAAATTGTTGAATCATAGCAGTAAATCTATCAATTTAAATTTTACTATTGATAATTAAACCTTTTAATCCTATGGCTAACAGAATAAAATTAACAAGTGTTTTTATTAATATTATTTATAATTGGTTTTATTTTTGTCATATTTCTGATTTATTTAAATTCATTAAGCTAATTTTACAGACAAGCCAATAATTTATTCATTTTATAATTTTCGCTAGATTTCTTTATAAATATTTTTTATATATATTTTTTCTTAATATTCTACAGTTCTCAATGCATACATTAAAATAATAGGCGATGTCTTGTTTTTGTTTTAATTATAGCAGCTTTTCTTTGTGTTGTTCGGGTCTGTTTTTCTGTGTCTATCTCGTGCCTTTACACTCTCAAACACACGTACTCGCTCGCCAACACAAACACGCATACATATAAAGAATGCTCAATTTAAAGCCGGCTTTTTTTATTTATTTATTTGTTTATGTGCTCGGCTTCTCGCTTGCGTTTGCTTACGATGTCTTCAAAATTAATGCCTTTACTAGTGTATGTGTCAGCGTATAATTATTTCTCTTCTCTTTATACATGCATTCGTTTACGCTCCAAGTCTGGTTTGTGCTCTCCCAGAGAGCGCCACACAGCGACAAAAATATGTACATATGCAAACACAGTGAATTGATTTAAGCGTCGATTAACGCATACAGTGATACGCACACGAATAGAGACTCAGAGCGAAAGCCGCGACAACATACGATATGGATATGGGGCAGCGGCAACGGCAGCAAGCGCAGCAGAGGCTTGGCATCTGTTTGAATGGTCAGCCAACAATCGCGCGCTCAGTGAAAAATGTTGTGTCGTCTCGTCTCTCGTCTCAGTAGCACTAAAATGGTGCGCAAGTCGGATAGAGTTAAAATTCCTACTAGTCGCGATATAGGCAGCATTCTGTTGCGTGGCAAAACCAAAGGCGATGCCAGTGGTGGACGTGTCAGTGATGGGGAGGCGGCAATAGTTAGGCGACAGCGCCAAATTCAGCAGCGACGTCGACGACGGGACAACAGCGCCAGCAATACAGCCTCAAGTGATGGTGTGTGTGTGTTAATTTTATGCTATAGTGTTTATAGTGTCTACTTTTTCTGTTCTTATTAGTTACAATTTTAAAGGAATATTTATGTTTATTTTTGACTGCTTACAAAGTTCAAGATCAGTGTTATTCAAACTGCACCAATCGCATATTGAATTTTACGTATGCACAGAGAACTGCAGCTTAAATAAACAGTAAACTCTTTTTCGAGCCCTTAAACTGTAAAGCAGTGCTGATCAGCTGCGTGGGCAAGCAGCGCCTATACAACTGTTGTTATTGTGCTGCAGTGCAATCATTTGAAGCTTAAATATTTATTATTATTAAAAATTTGATGCTTTTTGCAAAAAAAGTTAATTAGTATATATATATATACACTCGTAATTTTATTGCGCAAGACTGTAGCTCAACAGGCATGTGTCTAATGCTTTTTAAACTGCGCACTCGCCTATTGCGCTTTAGGCATGCACTGACACAGTATGACTCAAACTGTGAGCTATTCGAGAGCTGCTCAAACTATGGGAGAGTGCTGCTGTTGGCTAAACTGTGGAGGAAAACAGAGTTATATAAATAATGTGAATTACTTTGCATAAAATATTAAAAGAATAGCTATTACATTTTTCTGTACATACATACATATCTATATATATATTTGATTTATAATGTCAATTGCCTTCTCTCTCTCGCACACAGAATCGGCCGAAAGTCAAATAATGCATGCAGATGCTCTGCCTATTGGGCATCCTGCTGGCTCACCCATTGGCCATGCGCTGAGTCCCAATGTCGTTGGCCTCGGCCTTAGCAATAGCAGCAATCAGAGCAGCGAGAATTTCACTCTCTGCAATGGCAACAGCAATGCCAGCAACAACAACAACAACAACATCATGTACTCACCGAACAACAACAACAGCAGTGGCAGCGGCAGCCAGCAGCAGCAGCAACAGCAGCAGCAACAACAGCAACAACAGCAGCAACAGCAACAGTCGCCGACAGTTTGTGCAATTTGTGGAGATCGGGCGACGGGCAAGCACTATGGCGCCTCCAGCTGTGATGGCTGCAAAGGCTTCTTCAGGCGCAGCGTTCGCAAAAATCATCAGTATACCTGCAGGTGAGTGCAACCAGATGATGACTAGCCCAAGACGCTCTTAAAGCCAACTGTCTCGCATTCGTCAGATTCGCGCGCAACTGTGTTGTGGACAAGGATAAGCGCAATCAGTGTCGCTATTGCCGCTTGCGCAAGTGCTTCAAGGCGGGCATGAAGAAGGAGGCAGTGCAGAACGAACGCGATCGCATTAGTTGCCGTCGCACCTCCAATGATGATCCGAATCCAGGCAATGGACTATCGGTTGTGTCGCTCGTCAAGGCGGAGAACGAATCGCGACAATCGAAAGCGGGCGCCGCCATGGAGCCCAACATCAATGAGGATCTCTCGACCAAACAGTTTGCCAGCATCAACGATGTCTGCGAGTCAATGAAACAGCAGCTGCTCACCCTAGTCGAGTGGGCCAAACAGATACCGGCCTTCAATGATCTACAGCTGGACGATCAAGTCGCTCTACTCCGCGCCCATGCTGGTGAGCACTTGCTGCTTGGTCTCTCGCGCCGCTCTATGCATCTGAAGGATGTGCTGCTGCTCAGCAACAACTGTGTCATCACCAGGCATTGTCCAGGTGAGTTGTTACTAGCTAGACAACTTGTTTGTTATGTCTCTCAAGCTCTGCATCCATTTCAGATCCACATGTCTCGCCCAATTTGGACATTTCACGCATTGGAGCACGCATCATTGATGAACTCGTGGTTGTGATGAAAGACGTGGGGATCGACGATACCGAATTCGCCTGCATTAAGGCATTGGTCTTCTTTGATCCCAGTAAGTGCAGCAGTTAACGACATCGAGTTGCTATAGATTTCAATATAAAGCTACGAGCATGCAGCAGAGGCAATTTATCAAATCTCTTTTCTCTTTTCATTTTAGATGCCAAGGGTCTCAATGAGCCGAATCGCATCAAGTCCTTGCGCCATCAGATACTCAACAATCTGGAGGATTACATCTCGGACAGGCAATACGAGTCTCGTGGTCGATTTGGCGAGATTCTGCTCATTCTGCCGGTGCTGCAGTCAATTACCTGGCAGATGATTGAACAAATCCAATTTGCCAAAATCTTTGGCGTCGCGCACATCGATTCGCTGCTGCAGGAGATGCTGCTAGGCGGTAAGTGGAAGCGCGCTATGCAACTTGGACATCTATTTAATCTGTATCCTTTGCTGCTCGCACACAGGTGAACTGGCAGACAATTCGTTGCCCTTGTCGCCGCCCAATCAGTCCAACGATTACCAGAGTCCAACGCATGGCGGCAATTTGGATGGCAGTCAGGTTAGCTCTACCCTGGACACGCTGGCATCGGCGAGTAGCGGTACGCATGGCCTGGATCTGGATGTGCAACAGATACAGGCGCTCATCGAGGCTAACAATGCGGAGGATACGTTACGTGCCTATACAAATAACAATGCTGCTGCCGTCGCTGCCGTTGTTGCTGCCACTCCCTCGTCTGCCGTAACGCCTCCATTGAGCAGCGCCGCCTGCAGTCCGAAATCGCAAGAGAATGCCTACATGGATGCGGCGGCATCACGTCAATACAATGTCCAGCACAAGAGTCAGCTAATGCACAGTCCACAGCGAGTGCATCCCTACCAAAGAGTGGCCACATCGCCGGTCGATGCCGGCCTCGGAATGCGCAATCCGGCGGACATCACGCTCAACGAATACAATCGCAGCGAGGACAACAGTGCCGACGAGCTGTTGCGTCGCACGCCCCTCAAAATACGTGTGCCCGAAATGATGGCGCCCAGCTATGTGATGGGTGCGTATACCCTATATCTGTAGATATTTAATTTGGAGACTTATTTGAATCTTTTCTTGATTTGCAGAGCCATGTCGCATGACGCTTAAACAGGAGCCCGAAACGGGCTATTAACTGGTGCAATAATCTAAGTGACATACATACACACACACTACCCTTCCTTATGATACCCCACCACACTCTACCCTATTCTACTCTACCTCCTCTACAGGCCCCCTCTTGCTAGCTGCTAAGTGCTATACAACAAAAACAAAAACAAAAACTTACTTAATTGTTATTGACTTGAACTTTTTGATACAGTTTTTTTATTAGAGTCTAAGTAGGTATTTTGGAAATTGTTGCTTAATTTGTAAAACACGCAATTGCAATCTATTTTATATTTTTATTCAAAGGATTTGCTCAAAAACTTTAAAGTAAACTGTTTGTTGGTTATCTATAGATATATTATACATATTATGCAGACATATGTATATAAATACATATATGCAATACTTTGTTTTAGGCTAGGGTGTTGTTTAGTAATATGAAATATATGATTACGTTTAATCAGTAGTTGATGAAAGTTGAAGAACTATTTTTATATGAAAAAATATATATATAATTATATAAATACTGTATGTATAAAATACAAGTTAATTTAAAATGGCTGAGTGAATAAAAACAAACATAAGAAATGTATTGTAAAAAAATTAAATAATCGTTTCTTTATTATTTTTATAATGTTGCAGGCTGTTAAACAATACAATGAATTCCAAATAAGACACGATTTGATTTGAATTTGGCGCGCATGTTAACGCAATTTTGACAGCGTCGCAACTAACACTTATTTCGATATATATCGCAAAGGAAGAAACACATTGTGTCGATGTAAGATACTTGTTAATATTATCGATGAAAATTCATCGATACATAAACCTCTAGCGATGATATGAAATAGTACTCACAGCTGACGAAAGGCCCAGCACTATTATTTAATGTCATTTCATTTTTCGTTGTGCGCAATAAAGTTAGCAGCTAGCAGATCAAAGAAAACGATTATATGCGAAAGCAGGAAGACCAGCTTGGATAAAAAAAAGCTAGTGAAGTCTGTTAATACATTTTTGCCAATATATTAACATTGAAAAAGAAAAGTTAAATCAAATACGCACTGCAAAACTCGACAGCTAGACGAACAGCAGATTCAATATGTTCGGGCATAAGCTTATAGTATGCACGACTTTGCTCCTGTTGAGCAGCTCTGGTGAGTAAAGCTAAAACTAACCCCATACCGCGTAACGCCCGCAAAAAAACTGCAACTCTTTGTTCAATTTACTTTGCTTGTTCATCGCAATTTAATTTCTGTTGTTTTTCTCTTGCTGTTTCGCCTATTGGCATCCCGCTTGCACGCACGTAACCCGTTTGACGGGCTGATGGATGTGTTTCTATTTTTTTGTGGTTTTATCTACAAGGGCTGTTGGAAAACAACACAAAATCGCATGTAGAATAATTAATACGTATTAAACACATTTACGTGAGTATGTCAGTGTGTGTGTCTGCAGCACATTGACATTTATCTGGCTTGTGACACTTTTCTCGTGGTTGTCGTTGGTGCAGTGTAGGACAAAGTGCTAAAGTAGAATCTAAGAAGTCTAACAAGATGGTGGCTTAGTACCGCTGCAACATAAAGTACGAACAAAAAGGCGAAGCAAATGCAAGCGGTTTCTTTAGCTCTGACTCCAGTTACGCATACATGCGTTATTGTTACTGATGCATATATGCATATGTTTGTTTGTATTGTATGCTGCGCTTATCTAACCGACAAGAACAACGTTCTACCTGCATAGAGCATGAGAAACGGCAACGGGCAGATAAAACAATTTGCTTTCCTATTTCTCTCTATCTCTCTTTCGGCTTCTTCAGCCGGCAGCAGCAGCAGCCCCCGCATTGCATATGTACGTTCGTTTGTATGTAAGTGTGTAGCAGAATGCAGGCATATTCAATTTCTCACTGTTGCCTGCTTCTCCGCTTTTGCTCTTTGGCTACACTTTGCCGTCTTCTTTTGTTGAGCCTGACATCAACAATTTAATTATATTTGATTCACAACAACGCTTAAGTTGTTTATTTATTTAACTTGCTTGTTGTTTGCCTTAGGCATAACCGCCCCCTCACATACACGTATATATCCCCTTTATCAGTAAGCACTAAATGCAGGCGTATTTGTGATATAGCAGCAGCAACAGTCGCAGAGATGTGGTAATTCCCCCTAAACTATTTGTTGAATGTTTCTAGAACAGAGCAGCTGCTGCATGTTTTTAAATATAATAGTCGTTGGCAAAATTAAATTTGTATACAAAAATAATTGCTTAAAAACGAGTTTTAAAAATTGTACAATTTGTTTTAATTTGTTCATTTGTTAACTATTTAAAAATATAAATAAAAATAAAAATAAAATAATAGATATTTAATTATACTTAAGCTTAAATTTTGTTTGCCAATTTGAGTATTGACTCCAGCAATATCTTTGCTGCGCTGCATATATCATTTTTATATATAAATTTAATCAGGCTTATACTTTCCGTTCATTAGCTGCATATGTTTATAGCTATATATTATTTATATTTGTCTAATCTAACTCTTGCAATCCTTCAACAAAGACGCAGAAAGTATACCATCTATATATATATTTACATACGACTGTATATATACATAATATATATATTCGTGTATTAGTTTCAGCTGCGGAAAAATCAAATTGTTTATTTGTGCAAAATTTTTGCTGATAAGATTTTGTCACACATACTTGAGAACTGACTCGTATAACTGTAGAATAAGCCTGATGAAGCTATAGACATATTCATACATATATTTTTGTATACATTTGAAACTGGCCCGCATAATTCGAATAGGATCGATTGTTGATATGCGTCATATAGATCGGAAAAGTAAGCGAATTTAGAGTGGAAGATATTTTGGGAAAAGTTAGCCAGATAATATGCACTATATTAGCAGATAAGAATAATTATAATATAATATAATGTTAAAGGTTTCGATTAAATATATATAATATATACAAACGAGTCTTAAAGCCCTCTATTAAGTATAAACTGAAGTAATTCCCTTTAAGCTTCTGAGTTTACAATAGAAACTCAATAATGAGAGTTCTTTCATTTGATAGCTAATACATTGATATAGATATACATAGTTTTATAGATACTTATTGGAGTTACTTTGTTGCATGCTACATATATTTCTAAGTTAAATTATTCCACTTTCTTCAAGAAGCTTAAATTATTTCCTGCCACAAATGCAATTCCTAAAACGAGAGCAAGTATTAGGAAGCATTTCCTTTGAACTTTAATTAGAGGTCTCGCATTACACATGATTTTCTAGTGTTGCATGCCCATGGCAAATAAATCTTATTAGCTGGCGCAGTTTTCCTGGAATTTTCCAGTTACGCCTGAAAATTGTATTGAAGGTTTGTCTCTCTGTCCGTTGTCTGTTTCGAAAGGGGTTTGGTTGTCTGGTTATTTGCTGTTTGCTGCTGCTTAACTTGCATTTAAAGGTCATCTCTGCAGTCGTGTTACAATGGCATTGAACTAGAACGATGGGCGTGCCAAGTGGGGGCGGTACGGGGCGTAACGTGTTACCTGTGTGTCTTGAAAGTGGCAACTATAAGTACCTTAGCTTTTTACTACAAATATATGAATATAATATAATTAAGCTGCGTTGAGTCATTAACTAAATGGAAGAAAAATATGTGTATATATAATATATATGCAAATACAGATATAGATACTTTTTAAAGCTTGCAAAATTGTTGTTGACGAACTGTAAACTCAACTTTTATAGATAAAAACAAAGAGGATTGAAAATAAAAACAAGCTATAATTGAGATACGCTGTTCGGGTAACGAAAGCGAGAGTATAAGATAAATCACAAACTATCTATACAACTCCAGAAGTAGAGCATTGGACAGTCAGTTCGAGCCGTTCTCAACTTTATTTATTTACAATTCTGCGACGTTTAATCGCCAAGTTAAACGGAAATAAAGTGACGCACATGAAGTAGGGAGTATATGGAGAGTATCTATAGGTCTATCAGTAGCAACTGTCGCTGAATAAACCCTTTGTGCGTGGCGAGTGCAAAGGTTTAATTGAAAGCCTTCAAACACTCCACAAATCTATGTCACTTGCAACAGACACGCCCACAAGTATAGACAGCCGTCCTGCCCCTCGCCCCCACAGCCGTTGGCCAACGCATGTACTTTCTGGCTGTTTGGTTATCAGTTGGCGACTGTGCAAATATTTATATTATTCATCAATGTGACTCAGACAGAGCTCTGAAAACTAAGAGGGCCGACGCAACAATATAATGAAATACAAAGCGCTCGACTAAAATTTTGTTATTCATTGAAACATGATAATTATATTAAAGTCGACTCTTGATTCTACATGAAGTGGACGAATGGATGCCTGAATAGAAAGCGCTGTAAATGCTTTGTGGTCGTGAATGATATATTTATAATATAAATGTATAAATATATATATGCACATATATATTTCTTAATTGAATTATACGTTTAGTATATATGAAAGGTAACTCGGCATTTATATACGTTCGTTATATATCGTATGTAGGTGAAGAGCTGGAGGTACGGGTAGAGATAGAGAGGGAGACTCTGAATACATAGTATTTATGGGCATATGAGTTTACCTTTATTTATTGCCTAGCAAATATATAATGTATACTGATATTACTTGGATTTTGAATTTTACACTTTCAGTAATAAGTATTGCCTGCCTAGTCTAGTTTGCTATGTCGAACTTTCCCCAATTTCTTTAAAGAAAGGAAGGATTTACTCTACATATGTATAGCTTATATGGTCTTCCGCCTATCTCATTCCGTAACTGCTTCAACAAACGAAGAATACAAATGAAAGCCAATCGAATTGAACAGCTCTGCCATATTTTCTTAAAAACGTGGCTTAAAGACTTGGCAAAGGTTTAATGACCTGTTAACAACTGATAAATGCAGCGCATATCGTTTATTTACACATCAAATAATAAGGAAGACCCACGCAGACACACACAGATAACACTTTTTAAAGACACAATTGTTTATTAACGCACACCTTTATTTTCATCTCTTGCAGTTTACTCGCAGTCGCTGGGGGTGAGCTTGAAAAATGCCGACTTTCCCGATCAGGAAAAGCCGTTAACATCGAGCAGCAGCAGCTCGACTTCGACAACCTCAACCACGGCTAAACCGCCCATAACCAGCAGCTCGAGCACCACTTCAACAACGTCGACAACAACAACAACAACTAGCACTGCGGCCCCAACAACCAGCACTGTGGCACCAAGTACCTCGACACCTGCGCCCGTGCCAACCACTACACGCAAGCCACAACCGTATCCAGAACCAACTGCCGGCTCATGGAACTGCTCCTGCATTATGCTCACCATGGCAGCTCAGCTCAACTTTACCTACGAGACAAAGAGTGAGTTCTAGTCTCTCTCAAGTCCTCCAATCACATTATTAACTTTAACTCTTTGTAGGCGGCAACATGTCCAACGCCCTGTTCAACGTGCCCAGCACTGCTAAATTGGATCATTGCTTGTGCGATAGCCAGGTCACGCAGTTCATGCAGCTGAATTGGGGTTCAGTTGACTCGCAGGAATCGTTGGTGCTGCAACTGGAGAACAAGAATAAGTCCGTTTCACTTACTTCCATCAAAGTGGTCTTGCCGCTATCCGCTGCAGATTTCCCCGATGCTAAGGGTAAGTGCTTAGAGAGTAAGAATCGTTTGCATCGCTGGGCACAGTTATTGGCAGTTGCCTTCATCTGGATAAATTTAAAATGGATTTTCCTTGAAATTTTATCTTGAAAAAATAGGCTAAATGTGTGTAGGATCCAGAGTAGAGTCCTGTTTATACTTTGATAGAAATTTGTGCAGAAAACTAGGAATAATGCCTACCTTAGGCGTGGGTTATATACATATTTATGTATAACAGATTATCTTATCTTTTATAAAGGTTTTATATTGTTTCTAGTTATAAAAGCTGATTACAGCTAGCCATGTGCGTCTGTGTGAACACGTATTAGAGCTGTAAATGGGTCATAAAATAAACTACTGAACATATTCAGTATTTATTTGCAGATAAAGTATTCCCTTTGGTATTGATATGTTATATATGATTTATAAAATTGGTTATTCCACAAAATCTTCAAGTTATTTATTTGAACATGAATTTTGGAAAAGGAAATGTTGTTCACATAATTAGCTTGCCCAGAGCAGATGCAAATCGATCCCAATTTTATTTGTTAAGCTAATTATTGTTATCGTTATATTGCAGAGAATCAGACCATTCAGTTGATACACAACAGCCAGAACACGGACTTCAAGACGCCCGAGAAGATGTCGTACCATTGCACACGCGTCCAGAAGTTCAACATGTCGGAGACCATCAGCGGCAACGAGACCATTGGCACGATCAGTGTTGGCCATGTGCAGGTGGAGGCATTCCGCAGTGCAAATGCCACTGGCTTCTCCACGGTGCACGATTGCGACAGTTCGGAGACCTCCGATGTGGTGCCCATTGCTGTGGGCATTGCCCTCGCGGCTCTGATTCTTGTGGTCCTCATCTCGTATCTGTGTGCGCGTCGTCGTTCCACCTCTCGCGGCTACATGAGCTTCTAAGCTGGTGTAAATAAGATAGCGATAGATAAAGAGAGTTTAGCAGAGAGAGAGAGAGAGAAATGTGAGGAGTGCCCAGGCAGTTGGCAGCAGTTGTTGTTGTGTATGTGTGTGTGTGTGAGAGAGATTGAGCGAGCGAGGGGTAGTTAGTGCGTTGTAATCAAGAGAGAGTTGTAAGATTGATTTTCTAATTGGCAGAACAGACAGAGAGGGAGAGCACTAAGCGAGGGGAAATAGAAAAGGATGCAAGAAATTAGAAATTTGTAAATTTGTCAAACGGTTCTTCTAATTTTTTGATTTTGTTTTATTTTATTAATTTTTTTTGTCTAAATTACAAAGGGGAGATATTAAAATCTAAAACCAACAATTCTGTGTGTATGTGTGTGAGCGTGGCATTCTTAAACTTATCCGTAATCGTATCAAACTATCAAATTGAATCTTTTAATTACATTTTCTACGATACAAGCAACAATTATACTTCAATTTCAATTAAACGTCGAAAGGTGGGAAACGCGCGTGCGAACGTAGGGAGGGAGTAGGAAAGAAATACGATACTGTGGCAAGTAACGGTTATTACGTAAATGACAACAACAAACAGCGAAAAGAAAACCACACAACATTTTAAAAAAATACAATTATATTGATTTTAAATTATAACCGTTAATAAACAGCAACAAATTATGTATTATTTGCCGCTTTGAAGCGTAATAAACGATAAACCAAAAAAAACATTTAATTGGAATCGCTTGCGCAAGCAGTTCAACGTATCCGATTGGAATGTTGGGCTCAAGCAGTGTATACACTGCTTACTGGATGCTCACAACAGCCGCTGCGTTGAACTGCTTGCGCATTGGCGGTAATTTTTAATTCGGTTATTTGGGGGCATTTACAGTCAACACTCGGTAATTGAAAAACTTTCAATTGCAAATATTTTAAATTAGATTTTATTTATTAAAAAATAGTAAGAATGTTGCTTCTTCTACATTCTTACTCATGTAAATTTACTAAATGGGCAACAAACTGTCCGCGTTCATTTCTGCATCATCGTCCGAGTCGTTGCTCTGCTGTGCGCGATACATGCCAGTGCGAGGACGTTCGGCAGGCGGGCCCAACGGATCCACATGCTGCTTCACTGTTAAGACGTTTATTGGGATTA